TAAGGATTTGTTCTCTTTAAAGGAATATTAGTCTCTCAGTATTAGTCTCCAATATTAGTCTAAACCTGTTGAATTTTTACATCCCGGAGTCTTACAGAACTCAAAAATTTTATTAAAGAAGTTGATATAGTTAACGAATTAAGGGCTAAGAAAAGCTATATTTAGGTTCTAAGTAAATATAAGTAACTTGGAGATGTAAATTCCTCACGAAATGAAAGTCATTTATTAAATACATTTGATTTAACTACCTTTAACCAAATTAACTTCCTCTAGTCTTTCATCATTTCCCTCTGCCTGCAATTCTTCCTCGTAAATATCCATATTTGATTCTTTGATCTCTCGACTGATTAAATTAATTTTTACAAATTAGATATAAAGTCGGGTTCTTTTGTTCTATCTCACTAAAAGCCCGTAAAATATATCCGTTAACAAAAATTGAATAAAATACTATTATTTTTTAGCATAATTAGCTCTCAATTCTCTTCTTTATTTAAAAAATTTTCCAAATTTTCCCAAAATTTAACAAATCCAAAATCCTTACTTGTAAATAATTTCCTCAATTTTCTTTGTAAAATTTTTTGCCACAAAGAAAGTTTGTCTATCTATTTCATCTGTCTCATTATAATAATCATAATAATCAGTCATTGTCCCGTTTTCATCTTCTATATCAGAGTATAAATTTTGACTTTTATTTATATTTTTGCCCTCAATTTTTTCAAAACTTCCTGTAATGTTTTCTTTTTCCTTAAAAATAATAAAAGTATTCAATGAGTAAGACCCGATCACAAAAATACCTCTCTAGTCTTGTTGATTCTAGTTTGAGTTCTTTCATGCAATTTTGTTGTTGGCTTTTTAGTTGTAGTAATTGAAGCCTTAATTAAAGTTTGGTAATATTAAAAGTTATCTAAATTTTTTAAAAATATTTTTTTAAATATTTGGAATTATAATAGACTAAATCAGATTAATTCATTTTAGTTTTACCCCGTTAATACCTTCCCCTGTTTTTAAAACTTAATCATCAAATATGTTCATTTTTAAAATATAAAGTCGAGTAAGATTGAAGGGAAATTAATTGAATTTTTTAGTTAATTTTTTTAAATTAATTTTTTTCCCAGCTAATTTTTTGCCGAGTAAATACAAACTATTATTATTAGTAAATTTAGGCCCGGCTCTTTTTTTGGTGATATAAAACTTTTTAAGAATTAATCTCTCATATCTGTTAGCAAAATCTAAGTTTTAATTCTATTAATTCTACATATATCTTAGCTTACCTACATTTGAACTCATTCTAACAGTTATATTCACCATTCTATTTGTTAGTTGTGTTTTCTTTAAAGTTTTATTCAAATTCATATTTTTGTTTCCATTACTAATTTTATTATTAGCAATAATTGTTTTATTTTTTATTCCAGGTTGAATTGTATTTTTTGTAATATTATTTAATTTTTGTTTGTTTGTCAAAGTTTTATTTGAAGTTTCGAAACTTTCTTTTGGCTTTTTTGTTGTATTAAATAACAGAATTTTTGTACGTTTTTGAGGTCTAAACTTTTTTATAGTTTTGGTGACATTTAGTTTTGTTGTTGTATTTTTAGTTGGTAAGACACTTGTCTTCCCTTTAATATTTACTGAACAATTTAATACAAAAATAATTGCTAATTGAATTAATACAAACGAATAAAAATTCATTTTAGTTGAATAAATAATTTTTAAATATTCCTAATTCTATATTTAACACTGCATATAAAATAAAAAAAACTCCACTATTGGAACTAAACGCTTAAAATATTTAATAGTTATATAAACTATGAATCACATTATTAACTTTATTGTAAATATTTTTAATTAATTTAAATAAATTTCCAATTTTATTTTCTCTTTCTTGCTTACTAAATAACTAAAAATGGGCAGACTTACCTAAAGCTTAAAAACAAAAAACCTTAAAATAAAATAACTTTATTCTATTTCTAGATTTCAATAAATTAATAAAAAATTAAAGCATGAATATTTTAAATAGTATATTGGATTAAATGTCTGTAACTTTTATATTGCTGTCGAATTTTAGTCAAATTTTGTTTTTAAGTTTTTCATTATAATTCTTAATACGCAGTTTATCTCGAAAATAGCTAATTTTAGACCCGTACGAATAAAACATTCACTAGCTTCTCATTTTTGCAATCAAAAGGTATGTTCATGCATTCATCTATTTTGAACAAAGGAAAAGCGAATTTGGACAATGAAAATTTAAATAAAAACTTTTTAGAAATAGAAGGATTTATGAATGAATTATTTACATTGTTATTCGGTGCTAGTGTAAATGAGAATTTGGTCAGTTTAAAAGATTTAATTGAGACACGTTTTATACGAATAATTTATTAATTTTTATTTTAAAAACGTAGAAACAGAAGATATTATTTTCAAATTTGCCGGAATATATTGATGAACAATGCAATTTGGAACTAGCAAGAAAATTTAATTCAAAATGGTCTTTGGGTGAAGGAGAACATGCTTTGTGTATTTTATCTAGTCTTTTTATTTTTGCAACAGCGTTGGAAGAGAAATTATATGAATATAAGATAAAGGTTAAATTAGTTGTATTTATCTAAATGGTCTCTAAAATTCAGACCTTACATAAAAAATAAATTGAGTTATGATACTTTGCAAAAAATTCCTTTGATTTTAAAATCAAAATAAATTTATTAATTTCAAAGGCTATATCAAAAGTAAAAGGTCATCATGAAGGACAATCTGATAGAAAATCTATTCTCAATGATTTTATAGAAAAGGCTCGAGGAGTATGGTTACAAGAAGCTTCTATTAATATTTTGGAAAATTTGGGTCCAAATAATGAAATCGCAATGCTTAAAAATAGAAAATTGAAAGAAAAGTATTTAGGTAAAGGATTGTTTTCAGCAGAAACTGCTAAACAAAAAGCTGAGCTTTTGGGCGCTGAATTTATTGGTTTATTTGATATTCAATTTGGGGATATTAATGTAAATGATCAACAAAAACATCTTCAACCTTATGAAATTAAAGATGTTTCTCTAATTAAGCAGGAACACAATTTGGCAAAAGAAATACAATTTTCGCCTGCATTATCCGATAAAACTCAAAGTAGCATCGCAGATATAACTTATGATAATTTACCAGGCAAATAATAAACTTATATTTATTATTTATAGGGTTTGTGGTGCGTTAAGTATTAAGTCTAATAATCAAGTATGATTCTCCTTATATATAAGGAGTCTTCAGATAGTACGATTATCTAGGATCCTTTCCTTCAATAAAAATACTCCGTTACTTTAATAGAACGAAGCACATCCACGTAAAAGGCTATAGTTAATTTTAGTTTTATTTATCATATCGTTTTAACTTATAACTCTATATTCTTTTCATTGCGCGATAAGAGTCACTCGGTAGTAAACTCCAGAATTTTAACAGAAACAATTAATTTAATACACAGGATCATAATTAGTGATATAACAATAGTATGATAGATCCTTTGAAAAAAATTTTTAATCATTATTTATAATATTTAAAGTTTTAACATTGGACGAGGCATCAAACATAATCAAAATAATTTATGAATTAAGTGAATATACAAATTTCAAGGCATTAATTGATCCAGATTTTATTGTTGGTTATTATGAAAAATGGTATGAAAGAGAATTAAAAAATAAATTTAAAGATGAAATCAACTTTAAAAAACTTCAATTGGACGAACAAAATATATTGCGCGAGTTAAGTATTTATTTATTGGTCATTTTTTTAAATAAGAAAAAGAATATCAAGTTCACATTTCTTAGAGATGGTTTGACGTTCTTTGTAGCGGGTTTAGAAGTGTAATTACATGAAATTATCTCGTTTACTCTCATCTAATCTTACTCATTCACTTTTATTTTACTTTCACTTATCGTTATAATTTTGCGTTAAAAGGAAAATATTTAATAGTCAAAATCTGTATTTATGACCTTTTATTAACGATAACAACTTAGCTATATTACTTTCTAAACACTAGAGACTCAATACCGAGTCTCACACGTCTCTACTAGGGATGAGCGCATGAGACCATCTCAAAAAACGCAAAATCCAAGATCTTTCGCTTAACTGATCTTTTCCTTAACTATTTTTGATTTTTCTTGATTTTTAAAATTTTGAGAATTTGGAAGGTCGAGATATATGTATCTCTTCAATTTTTGTCCTCAGATTGGTTGTATTTTTGCGTTAATTTCGTCAAAAATAACGCAATGCGCTCGTTCTTGTCTCTAATAAACACTGTTTTGCTAATGTTCCGAGACTAATGAATTTCCCCAGTTCGAATGATCAACGTAGTTGATATGGAAAGGGGTGACTGTAAAATAGTTTTACTTGGATAATCAAATATGTAATAAACTTATTTTAGACTCATACAAATAAAACCTTCGATAGCTTCTCATTTTTAAAATCAAATGGATGTTTTGTAAACTATTCTCGAGAAGGAAAAGAAAAAATTGACTCTAACAAAGATAATTTTACTGAAAATATAGTTAGACATTTCAATTGTTTTGATAAGTTAATCTTATCAAATTTGCCAAAAATAATTGATGAACAATGCAAAACTGTCTCATTTAATAATGGTCAAAGTGAATTGTCTTTAGGTGAAAAAGAACATGCATTGTGCATTTTAAGCCGTCTTTTTATTTTTGCTTATTCATTAGAAGAAAAATTAAGCAAATATAAATCTAAGATATATTTTGAATAATTCAAATATTATTCAAGAGATACTGTAAATAATGAGGGAATTCGGATGGATATATGTTGCCTAAGTGTCTAATCAAATTATTTTATAATAAAAATAAATATTTAATTTAAAGGAAGGAAAATCTTCAACATCAAGTCATCATGAAGGGCAATCTGATAGGAAATCTATCCTCAACGATTTTATAGAAAAGGCTCGAGGAGTTTGGTTACAAGAAGCTTCTATTAATATTTTGGAAAATTTGGGTCAAAATAATGAAGTCGCAATGCTTAAAAATAGAAAAATGAAAGAAAAATATTTAAGTAAAGGATTGTTTTCAACTGAAACTGCTAAACAAAAAGCTGAGCTTTTGGGCGCTGAATTTATTGGTTTATTTGATATTCAATTTGGGGATATTAATGTAAAGGTGGAAAATCAGATAGATTTGAATGATTTGGACTTTGATTTTAGTGATACATCAGGCATTGATTTTAACTTGTTTCAAGATTTAATCTAATTGTTTACAAACAAAATTATTTTTCTATGCTTATTCACCTAAATATTTTATTTTTACTCCAAAATTATTTAAAAAATTTTTGTTGTTTTGAAAACCACACCACACGGAATTAACAATCCGAAGCTAAAATCCTCGGTTTTTGGTTATGTTTGAAGGCGATAACTCAACTCTTGTATACTATTTACATATACATATTCATCTAGTTTATTCCACTAAATATTCATGCAAAACACAATATTAATTAGAGCCCTGACTGGGAGGATAGCATGAGAATCGAGATCTCGCAAAATCTAGATCTCTATAACCGAGATTTTTCGTCTTGATCCGGGCTCTAATATCAACATTCTTCATTTCTCTTGATTTAAATTGTCTATCAAAAACATTTGTATAAACACTTTGATAAATCTTTAGATTCTGGAAATGGTATTAAACATTTTCTGAGTAACTGCATTAAAAATCACATGCGTTTCACAGGAAATATAACGTGTAAAAATATTTATAAAATTTGCACTTCGCTTCACATCGCTATTTAATTAAAAATAAATTTTCTTTAATAAATTTTTGCCGCCTAATGCTTTGAATATATTTTTGCCGACAAAACTTGGCCGAGTAATATTCTTTAAGGGACCCGGCATTTTGCCCTTTATTTTTCTAAAAGGATGGCCCGACATTATGCCCTTTATTTATGTCTAATCATGTGTAAATGATTATGAAATAAATTTTTATTTGCATTATTTTTATAAATTAAATTTAAAATAAAATTTTAAATATATCTTTAATTGACAAATAATTGAAGTAAAAATCTTCAAAAATACATATTAATTTTATTTCAGGGCAATGATCTTTATTTTATTATTTCGATTAATTCTCTTAAATATTCTCATTCAAAATAATATTTTTTATTGCGTAAATGAAAATATTGAAAATAATTTTTCTGATGGTCATCATATACAAAATGAGCAAACTCAGAATTTTGGACAAAATTCAAGTATCAATCCATCTATGAGTATCAATCCATCTATAATGCCTGAATCATCACAAATGAATGCACAAATGCCGGATCCAAAAAGAAGTTCGTTACTAACTTTCTTAAAATTGTATTAAATTTTCATCGGATTTTCAAACGGCTTTTGGCAAAAGTGCTAGTCTGCTCCAAAATAGTGCCAACTAAAATTCATCTATGATACTATACGACGTGCTGAAAATTTTAATTTGTAAATTTATTAATTAACTTAAGAGAGAATAAGAAAGAGAAAACAACGACCACCAACGACATTTATTACTGTTGATACTAAAGATTTCCAGAATCAAGTCAAGAATTGTAATAATTCATTATTAAACTTTAAATTAGTTGAGAAACAATTTGATAAAGAAAAATTTCATGGAGATAACTTGATATTAAAAGTTTTCATTTCTTAGAAATCTTATTTTGGTTTAATCTTTTGTTTCGGTTAACTGAGAATTTGCTGATCTAAAAAACCTTAGGAGTTAAAGTAGACTTTGATGTTTTAGGATCATCTATATCAATAGAATTGACATATTTTAAAATATTATAATTAGATATATAATTTTCATTGAACTTTTAAACTTTAAAGATACCGGCTTGCCTGTTGAACAAATGTACAACCAAAACTATTTTCAACATGTCTATCAACAAAATCAGTTTAAGCAGAAACAAAAAATAAATACTACAGGTTTTGTCAACCAATCCTTTGCGCATGGTGGACCATCAAGTTCTAATCATGCTCATCAATTTCAGCAAAATATTTACCATGATAATTACAGAGCAAGTATTGATGGAATATACAACATTCATGGTTGCTTTATTTATTAAACATAAATTGAGTAGACGAGTTACGAATTGTAACATGGTTGACCCCAATCTTATCTCACTTGACCGATCTTTAGATAAACCCCTAGCAAATTAAAGGAATAGTGAAAAAATTAAAGAAATCACTAAATAACATAGATCAACTTTAAAATAGGTGTACAAAATAGCTTTGCTACTAACCCAAAAGAATTAGAGAATATTCCGCATCAAAATCCAAAACGTAAATTTTATGAAGTGAGTAGATTTCCAAATTTGGAAATTCAATGAAGTGAGTAGATTTCCAATTTGGAAATTCCTTCTATTGTCCCCAAACGCAGCCAAGAATTTATAGGCGAACATAGTAATAGCTTTAATAATTTAACTTTAGAAGAGTCGACTATGGAAAATCACACAAAAAATACGCATGGAGAGCAAATAGATCTAATTGAACAAAATCATAATAGCGTGAATACTTTTGTGAGTGAAACAAAAAACGAATTTGCAAGGCAAAAGGCAATTGTAAAGGAGACACTGCAAGTTATTCGAAATGATTATGAGAGTCAAAAAGAATTTCTTGAATTTTTTAAGAATCATAATAAAGCTTTGGAACAGTTAAAGATTAGATTTGAATCTAAGCAACATTCAAATAATTATTTTAAAAATTTTGGAAATAATGGAGGGATAAAACTAAATGAACAGAATAATATGAATTTGCATAATTTTGGAAATTATTATGTTTTTGACCAACATACCCGAGAATTGATGTCAGAAAGTAGTAACCAACTTAATCATTTAACCACAACTGAATTGCAAAGGGAAAATTATTTAGAAAATAATAAACAACAAAATTTGAAGGATTTTCAAGATTTGGACAAAATTCATCAACTTCTTCAAATGCAAAATTTAAAAAATAAACAATTAGTTCAAAAAACACCAAACAATCATCAACGCAGTTTCAAACGTAATACTCCGTCTGAGAGAACTTTATTTGAAATAATGAATGAAAACACCCAAAGTAACCCAACATTTATTCCTTCTGTGTCCCAAAATCCTCAAGAAAAATACAAATCAAACACGTCAATAAATCAACAAAATGTTTTCTACACAGAAAATTCAAACAAGTCAATTAATCAAAACTTGGGAAAAATTTTACCAAACGAAGAACATGGAAATCAGGTTTTTGGTTAATTTAATATTACATAAATTTATTTCAAAAATTTTTTAAGCGATTCACTGGAACTTTAGGTAAATTTAATATTTTAATTAAAATCTGTTATGTAATCTGATTTTAAGACGACATTGTGAACAATAACAAAAGAGTTACGGATTAAGACAGAGGATATAGAAATTAAATAAAATTTACTAAAAATGAACTTTAGAAGTTTAAAAAAATTTTAATTATACACATATTTTTCTTTTTATTCTTTATAGGGCTTACAAGTAAATTAACATTAAACAATATTTGTTTCATACTTTTTGATAATAGATTTTATTTTTGAATTAAAGTGTCTTTTTAAGTGTTTTTTTGGTTACTCCATACATACATATATTGTTCAAAGCAAATTTCTCGCTTAATTTTGAATATTAGCCACGGCATTAACATTTGTTGGAGTCACAGAATTATTGAATATACGTTTGAAAAAAGTTTTAATTAAAGCAAATTCCTTCAAATAAGCCTCTCTGTAGTCAGTACTGTTAATTTAATTTCTAAATTATTTAATTTAACGCTTAATATCTACCTATTAATAAAAAGTATTGGCGCATTTGAAGCCGAGCCAAAACCGTATATAATAGTAGAATATGATAATATGAACCAAATTTCTTCATTTATGCCACTTTCGATTGAAAATCCAAGTAGTAGCATTCCTACGAGATAGAAAATAAGGCAAGAACAGATATTCACAAAAACAATAAGATATAGAGATCGATAAAGCTTTTTAATTGTTTCATGATGCAAATCTAAATGATATTATAGATTATAAAATATTTCCAAACATTTTATTTTACTCAAGTAACTTTTTCTTTTAACTTTACAAAGGATATACTTTATAAATGCTGAACCCCTATGTTTTCCTTTGAAAATTCCATCGATATTGAGTCGAAAAGCAAAAGAACAATGTCTATAACTACTTTCTTGATCGAGATCTCAAATCTCGAAAATCAACTGAAAAGCGGTGTACAGTACTTCAAAAAATATTTTTACCCCTGAGGTCTTATATAAAAATTTTCTTTTAAGCCCTCCAGAAAGCCCACAAAATTTGCTACAAAAAACACTTGTTCCAATGTTGGAGAAAAATCATACAATTTAGGAGCCATCAGTTAAATTTAGAAGTTAGAAATTTTACCTGTAGGGAAACACTGAAACTTTTTCTATCCTAATATTTACGGAACATCTAATTATTGGGAAAATATCGCCTTGGTTGACCCTTTGTAAATAAGAGCAACCTCGCTTTCAAGGTGGTGTTATAATTATGAAATGAACTGTTGTTCCTCAGCATGAATATAATAATAATTTTTAAAATGACAAATCGTACCTGTTACAAACTTTGTTAATATTCCAACAAATAAATAATTCAGTAATGTAATGATGTAAATAATTAAAGGGATCACATTACGAATTTGACCGGTTGATGAAATAATTATCGCGATATCCATAGGATTGCCTGGTATTCTAAAACTTCCATATTTTTCGCATACGGGTAAAATGCCAATGAAAAAGATAAAGATATTGTACAAGGTTATTAATGATATATTTACAATTATATATTTCTTTTGTTTCATGTTATTATATCTAAAATTTTTATTTAAAACCACTTTAAGTTCAAGAACTGTTTTAGACTCCTAGTTGCGACCAAAGATCAGGCCGGCATGAAAATTAAATTTTAGATTTTGGGTATCAGGAATTGAATATTAGGAATTCATGAATTTTATCAGCAATTTTTACTTCCTTCTTTATTTGGAACTCTCGACCAAAAATATATAAACCTTCTCTTTTGGCGAAGTTTGTAAATTCGAAATTCCTTGTACGTGTACTGTAACTGTTTAGGGTTTTCTTATATTTTTTGGTTTAAGAAATTTCCGTCACTAAAATTTTCTAATAAGTTCAATTTTTGTTTTTAATAGATTTAAATATGTATTAAATCTTACAAGATAGGTAAAGTAACGCCTACTAAGCGATCGATGCTAATTA